TTTTTTTTGGTGGAACTGGGGGATTGAACTGAGGCTCTTCTGCTTGCCAGGGAAGTGCTTATTCTACTGAGCCATCTCCCCGGCTCCTGGAAACTATTTTCTGACGTTTACAAAGAAATGTTTTTATTTCCATATACTCATTCTGTATATCTACGGGGCAAAGATTGATACTTTGATCCTTAATACAATTTGGAATGAGGAAATGAAGGTCATTAGAATTTTAATCTCCTTAAATGTTTCTTTGTTTTAGGAAAAGAAAATTCTTGACTAAAGGTCAGAGGTGATTAGCCACTGGGCTAGCCCTTAATCAATTAATTATTTCTATTTTTTTCTTCCTTTTTTTTTTTGCCAGCCCTCAGGCTAAAAGTTCAGGATTCCATTGTTGGGCTACACAGATTTTCACAGGGCCAGGTCACTTTCTCTGCAACTGGAACTCCGTGTGAGTGGAGAGCCACAGGCAGGTCTAGATGCAGGCTGGGGAGTAGCCTCGTTTGCTTGCTCTTCTCAACTTTCATCATTTCTTATAAGTGATAGCAATCTGTATTCCTTGGGGTTTGCATTTTTTTTAGGGTTAGCAACCCTCCGCTTGCTGCCGAGCCGTATTGTGCGGGTGGACGTGCTGCTTGGCCTGATTCAGGTTCTGAGTGCTGTTTGTTTTGTTCAGCCTCAGCAAGAGCCTGGAGATGCCCGAGACAGTGGTAGCGCCACCAGGCTTGTGGCGCCCTCTTACCGCCTCTACAGCTCACTCAGCCAATGGCTGCTGTTCTTGGAGAACTATCTAGTGATGTCATGAGGTAAACACATTGGTGACATCTTGGCCACCAACAGCTCCCACTCCCCCGCATGGGAAACATGCAGCATGTGACTAGGGTACCCTGTTTTCCCCGTGTGTCTGTGCAGGTTCAAGGACCATCAAGTGGTCCCGCAAATGCGATTGTCTTCCCAGGATTACGGGTGCAGAGAGCCAAACATTGGCCTTGAGCTATTTTAGCACATTTAGAACAAAAATTCCCACCAATATTTTTTTCATAGCATGAATTATTCCGTCTATTGTATGATTAGCTACAGAGCACAAGAGCGCAGAAGGTTTTTATTTTTTTTTTAAAGAATATAATAGATGTATTTAATTCAGGTTTTATATGATATACACTTCAGAAATGAGTTAGGGGAAACTCACTTTTTTTTCTGTATTTAGGACAGGGTGTACAGGGTACAGATTCTCTAGTGATCGGACTCCTAGTGATCCTCGTTTACAGCCTCTGAAGTGCTGGGATTATAGGCACACAATGCCACGCCCAGTCTCACTCTTGTCTCAGTGCGCCCCGGGGGCGGGGCCTGCACAGCAGGACCAGGGATTGAACTCCCAGCCCCTGAGTCTGCCTAAGCAGGTGCTTTAATCTGCTGAGCTATTTGGCTGGCCCAAAGTGTCACATTTTATGCTTTAGTTTGGAGAAGAGTGGAGGCCCAGTAGCTGCATGGTTGGAGCAAAGAGTGAGGAGGGAACAGTGACTCCTCCTGGCCTCTGTGTGGCCTCCTGTCCTCCAGGGTATTGCGCAGGAGGCCCTGGATGGCAGCCCTCCCAGGGAGGAATACAAAGGGAAAGAATTACTATTTAGGTTTTGTGGTTTCCTTGAGGAAAAGGGATCCTAGTTTCTTTGACCCACGCTGGGGATGAGGAGTGCAAAGGGATTGTTTGTTTGTTTGTCTTTTCAGAACTAGGGATGGAATCCAGGGCTTTTCACATGCCAGGCTCAGGAGCTCTCCCACTGGGCTATGCTCCCAGCCCTACAGGGTCTTGCTAAATTGCCCAAGCTGGCCTGAAGCTATGATCCTCCTGCTTCAGCCTCCAGAGTAACTGAGATTACAGATGTACACCATTGTGGCCAGCAGAGGAGTGCAGAATTGCAAAAAGGGAAGCTTGAAGGACTCAGAAGGGCCAGGCTCTAAGTCCACACCTGCAAGGCGTTTGCATAGATGGGGCCACTGTCTCCGTTTTAGAAAAGTGCTTCCTGATGATGTAGTGCTTTCAGTATTTAAATTCATTCTAAAATAACTCAGTTTTCATGAATCACTCTCTCCCCCTCTCCCTCTCCCTCTCCCTCTCCCCTTTTCCTCCTATCCCTCTCCCTCTCCCTCTCTCTTCAGTACCAGAGATCGAACTCTGGACCTTGTGCTTGCCAGGCAGGTGCTTATGCTGCTGACCTATCTCCCTGGCCCTCTTTCTTTTCTTTTTTTCTTCTTCTATTGTTTTGCTTGAGACAGGATCTCACTATGTAGTCTACGTTGGCCTTGAACTTACGATCCTCTTTCTTAAAGAAAAATGTTTTATTTATTTTATTTATTTGGTACAGGGTCTTGCTACAACTTGTGGTGATCCTCCTGTCTCAGCCTCCCCAGTGCTGGGATTACAGTTGTATACCACCACACCTGGTTTCAGTGGCCAGCATGAAGTGCCTGGTGTTCTGGGGCCCTCACATGGCATGCAGTACTGGGGATTGAACCCAGGTCCTTGCGCTTGCCAGGCAGGCGCTTAGACCACCGAGCTAGCTCTCCAGCTCCAAACTTGTGATCTTCTTGCCTCAGGCTCTCAGATGCTGGGACTACAGGCATGTGCCACCACTCCTGGTTAATTCTTAACATAGTATAATTTCGAGATTTCAAGTCACTAGCAAAGGGTTCTGAACAGCAATAGAAGTTTACTCACATATTTTCTGCTGCTTGCTTTCACCTAATTTATTTGTTCTTAACCATTATGTTCCTATCACTCATTTTAAAAAGATCACCGTGGGACTGGGGAGATAGCTCAGTGGCTTAAGCGTTTATCTGGTAAGTGCAAAGTAGAGTTTGATCCCCCGTACATAATAAAATAAAATAAAATAAAATAAAATAAAATAAAATAAAATAAAATAAAATGGCTCACCATGGACACTCAGCTAATTCATCCCAAGTCCACACCATGGTGCAGAGTTTTTTGTAGCCAAAGGTGCTTCTATAACAGCAAAATGCAGAGGCTTCCTGGTGTCTCTTCTCCCACCTGAAGACCCGTCCTCCGGAAGGGCCTCGGTAGTCATCAGTCTTTTCCCTGAGGAGGGTAGGGGATGGGGAAAACTGAATCAAGCTATAGCACATACAGGTACAAATCCTCTACGATGAATGTGATCATTGCGTAGGCCTGAAATGTGCCAATAAGCTTAATTAATTTAAAAAAATGCTGGGTGTGGTGGCACACATCTATAATCCCAGCACTCGGGAGGCAGAGGCAGGAGAATCACTGTGAGTTTGAGGGCAGCCTGGGCTACAAAGTAAGTTCAAGGACGGCCTCAACTGCACAGTAAGACCTTGTCTCAAAAAGATGAAATATAGTTATT